GACAAACCAGGCCACATGTAAGTATATGTGCTTTGAGTGAAAAGAACATAATTGATTAGGAAATTCTAGGAGTGTTTCCCTTATATTCAAGGGGACAATGACCACCAGGTCAATGATAGAAAGATTTAAGGACATTAGTAACAACAGTGTTCTATCTCTAAAATTTTGAACTGAGGAAGTATAGATAGATAAAACAACAGGAAAATTATATTAAAATATTTAAACAAAAAGAAGAAATAAAGGTTGCAACAGCATGTTTTCCTCCTCTCATCTTGATGTCTTCTTTAAATGTCTTAACATCTAAAACAGAGGAGACATAGAATAAAAGAGATCATTTTCCCTTTCCTTTAGGATGTCAAGAAGATACAAAGTTTTGGAATAGTCAGAGAGACATGATAAAAGAGCCTTTCAGGAAAATAGAATTCTCCATATTTCAGTTAATGGACTCACCTTAAATCTGTTGCCTGAATCTTTGCATTTAAGAAAATGATTTTGGGTTGCTAGGTGATATGAACTCTAGCTTAGATGGTACAAAGACCTTGGAAAAGAAGTACCATTTTGTACTTTCTTCATCTTCATCTTATGTCAAGTAGTTGTTTATCTCCACTTTTCATTTTTCTCCCTACTTTCGTTCTTGCTAAATTAAATACCCAGTATATTTCCAACTTGTGAGACTCCTTTTTTAAGGCCTCTTGAAACCTTTTTCTTTTTTAGGCATGAGTTTTACATTCCTCTGATTTGCTTGGATGTTGGGGAGCTTAGGGGATTCCCCATTCTTTCCTTAATATAGTAGTAGAAAGGTCAAAAGCTATGTACATATGACCATATAAGATGATGATAAGTGAAATGAACCCAAGATAGGGACACAAGAGGTTATTTTCTTTGTTGCAGTTGTTTTTAATGTACTATGTGATTTTTTTTTGTTTCTTTTGTATGTTCTTCCCCCATGGTATAACCCCTGTTGTCACTGTATTTAATTCCGGTACCCTGCATCTTGTATATGCATTTTTCTAATTTGGGGGGTGGGGAAGGGAAATAACAAAATGCTGAAACTAGGATACAGATTGACCCATTGTAACAATCAGACCTACAAGACACTATGTTGAAAATGAACTTTATAACTTGGGGGGAGAGAGGGAGAGAAGGAATACTAGGGGAAAACGAGGTGGTAATAATGCTTGTTAGGAAATGTACTCATTACCTTACTCATATAACTGTAATGCCTCTGTACACTATCTTTACAATAAAATATTAAAAATAAAAAAGAAATTGGTGGACCAGTTACAATTTGAGTCTAGAAATAATATTGAATCTATAAAGCTGGGGGGAGGGAAAGTGGGAGAAAAATGAAGGTGGGGTAACAATGTTTGACAAGAAATGTAGTCAATATGTGTGTAACTGTAACCCCTCAGTACATCCCTTTACAATAAAATTTAAAAAATAATTTGTCTAATTACACTGTCATGTACATATTAAATAAGGTTTGTATCTCTCATTACGAACATCTACCAAAGTAGAAACAAAAGAATAAATTGACCACCAGAGAATTGGTAACAGCTTGGAAGATCAGTTGTGTGGTGAGAATTGAGTTGCCCAATATCCACTCCAGAACGTAATGATGCACCAGGATGCTTTTGAATTCATAATTGAATCTCCGGTTCCATTAGGGATTTATTCCCCAAGGGCAAACAAAATATTAAAAGAGTTGCCATATAACTGCTATGACTTTGCGTTGCTATCAAAAGATGAACGAATTCTCATTTCCAGAGGTAAGACTTTGGATTTAGTTAATGAATGGACTTGTTGTGTTTACCATTTGAGAAAGCTTTATTCCCTAAGCTGTTCTCATGTTAGTTCAGAGAGATGGAAGAGGTACTCAAGCAAGCAGGAAGTGAGAGATTTTGGTTGACTTGCTCTGTCTACCAATTCACATGGGTAAATAGTCACTATCCATTATCAGAAATGCTATTTACCTAACCATAGACAGGAACTCCTACGCTGTCCAAACTTGGTGTTATGCTAAAATGTCACATTTTCCTTGCTTTGGGCTTTTAATTTAATGCTAAAAGATTTTTTTATTTTAATTTTTTGTCAATGTGATATACATAGTGGTTACAGTTACATATGTAAGGTAGTGAATACATTTCTTGTCAAATTTCTTACCCTCTCCCTCGTTTTTCTCCCACTTTGCCTCTCCCTTAATCCCCCACAAATTGTACAGGTCATTTCCAACATATTGTCTTCTGAGTATCATTGTTGTAATGCTCAAAGATTTAAACAGATGATTTGAAATAGAAAGAAGTAAAAAAATTGCAGATAGAGATATTGATTATGCATCAATTTTTACAATATATTTTATTGTAAAGATAATGTACAGAGGGGTTACAGTTGTATGAGTAAGGTAATGAGTACATTTCCTATGGAGCATTGTTACCCCCTTCTTTGTTTTTCCCCTACTATTCCTGTATTTATTAATTTTTGAGGTGAAGTAAGATTTATGAAAACTTTAGTGTATATACATTCAAAAACTTGGAAATGAAGAAACTTGAAATGAAATATTTGGAAATGAAGACTAAACTTTGTTAAATATAAATTTAGTTTAAAATAAATTTACTTCCTTTTAGAGAGTTCTAATTAGAAACAATTGTTGCAGAAGGATGTGATTTGCTTGAAATGAATGGACTTCATTTCATTTGGACTGAGCATCATATGCTTTTCTCATAGTTGTATGGTTTGAATTTAAAACTATTTTCCAGTAGAGTATTTTCTGCATAAAAATTTAAGACCATAACAGCCAATAAATTGAAACAATAGACAACTTCTTTTATAGTACTAATTTAGAATTCCTTTTGGTCATAGTATCAGCAACAGATTTATATATTCACAAAAATGTTTGTATTAAATTAAATTGGTAAGTATATTGAAGAATAGAACAACCCTAATGGTGGTATTACACATTAAGTTACCAGGGCCAAATAAAGCTGTGGTGGTAGATGGGTGAAGAGGAGAAGGAAGGGAATATGCAATCAAGAATTCAATGTATGAGCACTGGTGGCTCACGTCTGTAATCCTAGATACTCAGAAGACTGAGATCTGAGGATTTCAGTTGGAAGCCAGCTCAGGCAGAAAGTCTGTGAGATTCTTATCTCCAATTAACCGCCAGAAAACCAAAAGTAGTTCTGTGGCTTAAATTGGTAGAGAGATAGCTTTGAGCAAAAAAGCTCAGGGACAGTGCCCAGGTCCTGAGTTCAGGCCCCAGGACTGGAAAAAATTCACTATATGTCCTACAAATTTAAGAAAAGCAAGTGAAGTTCATGACCAACATATTGTTTTGTGAGTATCACTGTTACATGAACTTTATAACTTAGGAGGGGTTGCGGGGTAGAGAAAGTGGGAGAAAAATGAAGGAGGGAGTAACAATGTTTGACAAGAAATGTACTCATTATCTTAGTATGTAACTGTAATACCTCTGTACATCACCTTGACCATAAAACTAAAAAGAGAAAAGAAAAGAAAGTGAATGGCTGTGTGGGGAGAGATAGGTAAGAATGTTTAAAATGATGACATTGATCAAGGTGTATTATATTCATAAACTGCTTTATTAAATGACAACTCCTTTTGCAACTACTTAATGACAATACTAAAACACAAAACCTTGCCCAAGCTTATGTTTATACACCTACTACCTTGCCAGACAAAATACATTCAACACAAAAGTTATTTATTATAAGGTAGGGAGGTCTTTCAGCTTATCCTATTAAAATGACTTAAAACCTATCTAGTTTGTAAAGGTGACTACAATAATAAACAGTTCACAGAATTAAAAAGAAATAAAAGATACTCAATCTGGGTGTACTGAACTTTGTGGTTATTATAATTTGACTTGATTATTATGTAGTTATTAAAGGAACAGTCTTCACAGCTTCATATTTCTGACTTAACCATTTGTTGTATAACAATGCAAAAAATCACATATTCTCTTTCAGGCTCTGTTTAATTCAATGTAAAGACATGGAAAGATGGAAAAAAATCATATTAAGTGAAGTAAGCCAGACCCAAAGAAACATAGGTCCCATGGTTTCCCTTATTTGCAATAATTAGTAGATGTCTAGGATAATCTTAGCAGATGAACAGAACAGCTCAATAGCTATGTACATATGACCACAGAAGATAACGCTAAGTGAAATGAACTCCAAGACATGGACACAAAAGGTTTTTCTTTGTTGTTGTTTTTAATGTACTATGTAATTTTTTGTTTCTTTTGTGTGTTCTTCCCCCTATGGTATATCCCCTGTTGTCACTGTATTTGATTTTGGTACCCTGGTATTGTAGCTATGTTTATTTCACTTAGGAAAGGGAAGGGGAACAACAGAATAGTGAGACAAAGGACAGACAAGGGAGGAGCCAATGCAACAGTGATATTCACAAGACAGTATGCTGGAAATGATCTGTACAACTTGGGGGAGGGGGTTGGGAGGAGGAGAAGTAGGAGAAAAATGAGTGAAGGGGAAACAAGTTTGAAAAAAATGTATTTATGTAACTGTAACTCATCTGACAATAAAAAAGAAAATAATATATTTAATGGAACATATCATAAGCACATGTTTATATATAAAATAATTTTATCTGTATACTTATCATTTAGGATTCATGCAAATTAATACTGACTACTACCAGAGTAATTTGTTAAAACCCTATGTTCATTCATTGCTGCTATTTTCGTTGTCTTTTAATTTTCACTAGTGGCTTCAGAGCTGCATAACAATTAATGTTCAAAAGTATAAACACAAAAAGAAAGAGAGACAGTATAGGCCTTTGCTAAAATTAATTGCAAAATTATATATAGACTCATCATTGCATAAAAATTTGCACTGGTTCTTGAATATTACTATTTATAATGACACACCACATTTATTAAAGAAAATGGGATCATCATATTTGTAAATAGACTCATGCATATTTTTAAATTCAGGTTTATTTGGCAACAGCATCATTGTCTGATGGATTACCTGGTGGATAGAAACCATACTACAGTGACAGAGTTCATTTTATTGGGCTTAACAGATGATCCAGTCCTTCGAGTCATCCTCTTCATCATCATCCTGTGCATCTATCTGGTGACTGTATTTGGGAATCTCAGCACAATCCTTCTTATCAAAGTCTCTGCTCAACTCCACCACCCCATGTACTTTTTTCTGAGCAACTTGGCTTTTGTTGACTTTCTCTTTTCATCTTCTGTCACACCTAATATGCTTGTGAATTTCCTGGTGGAGAGAAATAGGATCTCTTATCTGGGCTGTGCCATCCAATTAGGTTTTGTCATTTTCTTAGGATCAGTTGAGGGCTTTCTTCTCGCTGTCATGTCCTATGATCGCTTTGTGGCCATCTGTAATCCACTACTGTATTCAACAAAAATGTCTACACAAGTCTGTGTGCAGTTACTTGTAGCAGCTTACATAGGAGGTTTCCTTAATGCTTTAATGTTTACCCTTTCTTTCTTTTCTTTGGTCTTCTGTGGCTCAAATAGAGTCAATCATTTCTTTTGTGATTTTGCCCCTCTAGTTGAACTTTCCTGTTCTGATGTTAGTGTCATTGCAGTTGCTCCTTCATTTTCTGCAGGTTCTGTGATTATTTTCACTGTGTTTGTCATAGCCATCTCCTACGTCTACATCCTCATCACCATCCTGAAGATGCGCTCCACTGAGGGCCGCCAAAAGGCCTTCTCCACCTGCACCTCCCACCTCAGTGCGGTCACTCTGTTCTATGGTACAGTTACATTTGTTTATGTGATGCCCAAGTCCAGCTACTCCACTGATCAGAACAAGGTGATATCCATATTCTACATGGTGGTGATCCCCATGTTGAACCCACTGATCTACAGTCTTAGGAATAATGAAATTAAGGGGGCTCTGAAGAGAGAGCTTGCTAGGAAAATCTTTCCATAGTTGTGTCTGTTATTGTGTATTGCTTTGTATAGTAATAATAACCTATAATAATAGAAGGTAACTGTGTCTGTTCTGAAAATATTCATGACCTATCATTAGCATGTGTTGTGCTTTTCAGAAAACATAGAGTTTCAGTGTTTAGCTGATAGAGTAAAAAAAAGAGGCCAATGGTGAGTTACCTTTATTTTATTTTTTGAACATTATTATTACCTTTAGGTGGTTCTATGAAAGAGTTACCATTCAACCAAGAAATTTATGAATACAGTGTGTCTTGATCAATGTCATCCCTTCAACATTTTCACCCCCACTTCAACCCACACCTTCCTTTATTTTTCTTAATTTTGTGGTATATAAAATGAATTTTTGACCACATTCTTCCCCTTTTGTCCCCATTCATTCATCTACTCATCTCCCCTTGGCTCCATCCCCTGAATTAACTTTATTTTAAAAAATTTTTAAATTTTATTGTCAAGGTGATGTACGGAGGGGTTACAGTTACATAAGTATTAGTACATTTCTCGTCGAACTTGCTAACCCCTCCCTCATTTTCTCCTACTTTCCTTCGCCCCAATCCCCCTGAATTACCTTTAGTAAAGCTAAATTAAATTTATAATCACACAGATGATTTTTACATGAAACCAAATCTGCTAAAAATCCTTTTAAACTTGTATGAATATTTTTCAAAATGTTACTCCCTGCCATATGCTTACTTAAAAAATGCTTTTCACGTTTCAAATCTCAAGTTTTCCCCAAAGATCCATGAGTTTGTTTTTGATGCCTTGGCCTGGTGCTTATGAGAGGTGAAAGAAATTTTGAAAGATTTTGCCTGGTGAAGGTTCATTAGTTCATTGGGGTAGCCCATCACAGCAAATAGTATGACCCAAGTCCTTTCTTTTTCTCTTTTGCTTAGTGAGCATGAGGTGAGTGGTTTTGCTCTACTACATATTTCTGACATAATGTGCCACCTTAGACCCAGTTCAGAGTCATGGAGTCAACTTACAGACTAAAACCTCCAAAATCAGTGTGCCAAAATTAACCTTTGCTTTTTACAAGTTGGTCATGTCATGTATTTGTTACAGTAACAGAAAGCCATCTAACTCCTTCATCCTGTGAAGCTCTGTTCATTTCTACACCAGCTTATCCTGAGTTAAAACCTGGCAACTGTAGTCATGACTTAGTACATTGAAAAGAAAACATGAAGGTAAATATTCCTGGAAACCTTCTTCTAGAAAGGTTATCTTAAGGAATGCACTTTGAGGGTCCACAACATTTTAGTCTACGTTCCTGGCCTTTTGCTCTCTTTTATTAAGGAATCCTTAGAAAAGCCACCTCTGATTAATCTGTGAATTCCTGTGTCTGGTTAAAGCAGATTAGTTCTCTGCTGGAATGGATGAGGGTTTCAAAGCACTGAGTGAATCAGAAGCAAACAATAATTTCTAAGAGAGTCCAGCTTGCAGTATGGTGACTGTGACGATATCATAAGCAAATGTTCAAATTGACTTTATGGGTAGATGCACATGCTATTCAGGCTGCTGGAACAGACTGGGAACTCTTTCCCTTGACACAGTTACTACCCACTGGAGAGACACTAGCTGCCTTTATATGCTGACAACTGTCTCATTTATTTCCTTTTCCTGTCTTTAATGTTCAAAAATAAATTTGTTTTTGTAGATAGAACCATGGGCTTTAATATAAAAGATTAAATAAATAAATTAATTATAAATTAAAATTTATTCACTTAAGAAAAAAGAAACAAAAATTGATTATGCATAATACACTGTCTCAAAACATATAAATATTTGGCCATCCCAAATGTATTCTTTTATTTTTGTAATTTGGTTGGTAGTTATTCCTTTATGCCTAAAACTTCCTTTTGGCTATTCCCCAAAGGAATTATTTCTCATATTTATTTTGAGAAATTTCTTCATTTTGTCATTTACATTTTGATCTCTGATACATTTGGAGTTAACTGTTTATTATGGTGTGATCTAAGGGCTATGTTATTTTCTTCCAAGTGGAAAGCCAGCTGTTTCAAAAACAATTAATAGGTCCACATTGGGGTGTTTGTGGCAAGACTGCTATTAGGATGTCTAGGGAATATGGATGTCTGGACCATGGACAGCATCTTGATCTCTAAGACTGCTGCTGGTATGCAGGTCCACTTTGAGGTTTACACATGATGGGCCTGTTATCACATCAGTGGATGGGAGTGACTTCCTGTGGGCCCCCAGGAAGGCTAATATTGTGTCACTGGATGAATCCCTACGAATCCAGTACTGCTGCCGTGTGTGGTTGACAGATGCTGGGGATGTAGATGAGATGAGACTGAGGCTAACAAGTCTGTTTATACCAGCATAATGTGTGTATTTCTTAATTGCTTATTAGGGCATGTTCTTAGAATGCAGTGGAGTGTAAGTGGAGATGATTACAAGTCATTGGAAGATCTACAATGGGATCTAATGCTGCGAGTCACCTTATAAGAAACAATCTTTTAATGGTTCTCTGTGGAATCACATTTTCTCTTTTTGGTCCAGAAAAATCCTAGTAGTAACATGGATAAATGTATGGTGCATGAAGTAAAGGAGTTTAAGGTAGAAACTGATGAATGTGTGTATCATTATGAATCACTTTAAGGTTTTGATGATGGGAATTGTCAAAAGAAACTGTAGGGATGATGAGTTCTACTAGTGACCCTTAGGATATTCAATGGAATGTGGGTTATCAGGATAAACTGAGCCAAGTAGTTAATGTCCTTAGCATGCTGCTGAGTGGAATGTGCATAGGCAGATTTCTCAGAAGAGCTTCTCAAAATATTTTACTAAGTGATGGGAAGAGTTCCAAGACACTTGAAAAAAAAAGGACACTCATGTATACAGAATTATCTTATTTTGTTCTGCATTAAAGTGGTAATTAATTCAAAGTAATAATTGCCCTCTTTATTATTGTGTCCTTCAAACTCCTTTTCAATCTGACTATAGGCTAATGGTCAAATACTCTGTCACCACTGTGCTAACCCCAATTAAGCAGAAAAGTTTTCTGTGCCAAATATCAGATATGCCTTGGGGGAATGCAAGGCCCCTGTCTTTCACTTTTATTATAAAAAAGAAAAAGAAGGACATTATCGTATTAATGTCCCTTTGGGGCATTAAGGCTAGCCAGGCCTTAATGAACCATCTGGTTCCAAAAGTCATTACAGCAAATGCCAAGACCTTTCTCTCAAAGGGACCAACAGCAGTACTCCTAGAGGATTCACCGTGTTGATTGAGAGCCTTCTTTTCTCTCCCACCATGAGTACTGACACCAACTGCCATCCTTACTACATGTATGTAACCATGTGGCTTGACCAATGGCTCATGCTGTCAAGTATGTGGCCCCCAATCATTGGTATCATTAAATGGGATGTATCTTATTGTAAAGTTCTGATTGGAATTCAGCATCAGTAATTCTGCTTCTGAGTGGTAAGTGCTGAGAATTTGTTAAGATAAATTTTTATTAATTCAAGATTGAAAATAAAATAGCTGCCTCCAACAATTTTGATTCTTGGTCCTCTGTGGAAAGTATATGTTCAGAAAGAGAGGTTATGGTACTCACAAACTAGTCTGCCAAGCAGGCTCTAGGAAGTGTGTGTTGTCTATGGCCAACCATTGCTGGATTTGAGCAGCAATGACTATGAAAGGGAAATCAGAAGAAACAACTTAATGCTTAGGTTCTAAGGTTCCTGGTCCTGAGCTCTCTAATCACAAGTGACCAGTGCATTGAAGGACATGAGCACTGAGTGGTCAGAGTCCTTGACCCAGGTAGAAAAGCACAAATTTCAACCATAATAGAGGAGCTTAGACTTTAAATGACCAACAGAGAAGAAACAAAAAGCAAATACCAGCCATTCAACATATTTTATATACAAATGACACAGTCCAATTAAGAAGACATCAGATGATATTTTTCCTGTCTCACTTTGGATTTGCTGGGAAACTATCACCTATTAAAAGAAAAAAATTATGCTTCCATAAAATTTTGTGCATGTATGAAAGTACAATAATGAAACCATATAAAATGTTTTAAGAAAAGGGCATAATTCAAAAAGATTGAAATTTTTATCACTAGGTATTTTAATTTTTGTCAATTGTGGGACTTGAACTCAGGACCTGGGTGCTGCCAATGAGCTCTTTTTGCTCAAGGCTATCACTCTACCACTTGAGCCACAGCACCACTTCTGATTTTTAAGTGGTTAATTGGAAAATAAGAGTCTCATGGAATTTCCTCACTGGTCTGTCTTCGAACCATGATACTCAGCCTCTTGAGTAGCAAGGATTGCAGGTGTGAGCCACCAAGGCCCAGTTCACTAGGACTTTTTTTTTTTAATAAACAGTTTTTTTTTTTTGTCGGTCGTGGGGCCTGAACTCTGGGCCTGGGCACTGTCCCTCAGCTGTTCAGCTCAAGGTTAGTGCTCTACCACTTGAACAACAGCACCACTTCTGGCTTTTTCTGCTTATGTGGTACTGAGGAATTGTACCCAGGGCCTCATGCATGCAAGGCAAGCACTCTACCACTGAGCCACCTTCCTAGCCCTGAGAAAGTATTCTTGAAGTATGAAAAGTCACTTGACAGATGTCATTGGAAAGTGATCTAATAGTATCTTTTTCAGTCATGGTGAAGGATTCAAAGTTTTTATCACGTACTAGTCACTATTGTAGTTCCCCGAATTTCACAGGGAGAGGTAAAGCCCTGGATAGAGTTCTCTCTCTTAAGCCAGTCTCTTTTTCTCTTTCCTTCTTTGCCTCCCTCTGCCTCTTTGTCTCTCTCTCTCTCTCTTCCTCCTACTCCTCCACCCCCACCTCAACCCCTGCATGGGGTGACTTGTCAGGAACAGAATGACAGAATCCCCTCTTCCTGTGTCCATTTGTGGGTGTATTTTCAACTGGTAGTTTTTGTCCCTCTATTCTTTAAGTTGGAAGTTGAAGTATCTTCCATGGGTCTTGTGGGACTAGGTAGTGGCCTGGAAACAAATGCAATTTCCATGAGCTCTGCTGAGAATGTAACTCAGTGTCAGAGTACTTGCCCAGTGTATGCTAAGTATGGACCAGACCCTCATCCATGCCAACAAAATAAAACAAAAACCCCATCACATGCAGCAATAAAACTACTACATAAGGTAAGAAAATATAGAATAAAAGTAAATGTATAAAATAATTAAAAATAAAGAGATAAGAAGAGTAAATGAAGAAGGAAAAAGATAAAAGTGACAGCGGCTAAAAGAAAAATTCACAATTCAAAAGGGGTGAAAAAGGGAAAAATGGAACTATTGCTAAGGATTCTTCATTCCTTAATTCTTTCCTTTTGGTTATTTCCAGCTGACTAGAAGAGATGATTGTAGGGTGAAGTGTTCTGGAGTTCCTCCTGCTTCCTTTTCAGATTGCAAGAAATTTGTTCTTAGAATGCAGAAGTTACTAGACCATGAGTACAGTAGGGCTGCCTTACTTTTTAAATGATTGTTTTTAGTAGTATATTCCCTCAATTCTCACTCTTTACATGTGGAGGTAATAATAAAGTAATTTAATTAAAAAACCATAAGGCTACTGGCACCTTATAAATTAATTTTTCTCATATTACATTTATGGTATATCTTCTGTATATTCATATAAACATGCCACAGGCAAAACTATCTTTTTTCATTTGTTGAGTATTATGTGCTTTAAAGATATAGAAAGAAAATATGTTTCTATTATACCAAGTATTTTACATTAATATTTTCTTTGTTCCTAAAAGTAAGATGTTGGTGTCCAGTCCACCAATCTTCTTCACTGCCCTCCATTGTTTGTGGGGTCTGAGTGCAGTCCCTGAGTTATAGCTCCACTTCTGGGTTTCTTGTGGTTAATTGGAGATAAGAGTCTTCTAGACTCTTATGGCTTTGAACTATGATCCTCAGATCTTAGCCTTTTAAGTAGCTAGGATTATAGGCATGAGTCACTGGAGCCAGGTTGCCAAGTTTCTTTTTAATTTATACTTCCTCATACTTCTTTTGAAGTATCTGCTATGATAGTAGATAGATTTTAAATTGAGGGGATAGGAAGTGTTGGGGTAGATGGGTGGGGGAGGTAAAAGAAGGTTGGAACAGATATCATTGACCAAGACACAGTGAGCTCATAAATTGAAACCCCTTTGTACAACCACTTAAATAATAAAAATAGTTGAAAAAACTTTTGCTGGTTGAATTTCAACTTAAATGTACTTCCCCCATGGTACTTAGTAGCCTGGGTTACAGGTATCAATACAAAGTAGTTTTTAAGAAACAAATTAAATGGCTTAAATTAAAGTTACTATCTCATAACTGAAGTTTAAATGATTACTTAAGCCTGAATAGCAAAACAACTTGGGAAATAATGCATGAGACAGTTTGTTATATTATACTCTTCAGTAAATACTGAGGAAATAATACAGAGCGATGCATAAACAGCTAGATAGGGAAAAAGAAAGAAATTGGCCATTGGATAACTGGCAAGTCTTGAAAGATATTTTTGTGTGTCTACTCTAGACCTTGAGGTGACACCCTGATGTATTTGAATTAACGTTTGAATTTCCAGGTTTTTCAGACTTATCTGCAACAGAGGGAAAAATAATATTTAAAAAATAACTGTAAAAACATTATGACTTTAATTGTTATGGAAGAGGACTAAATTATTATCCTTTCAAAAGGTAAGATTTGTTTTTTTTTTTTTTTAGTGAATCTGACTTCATGATTTTCATTTACCATTTGAGAATACTTTCTTCTCTAAAGAGGCTTGCATTCACAAATCATAGAGCAGAAACAGAGCAGTTAGATGCAAGCATTCAGTTTCAAGCAATTTTAGCTGATTAGCTCTGTGTCCATTGGTTTAATGTAAACATTCATAATCCAAGTTACCAAAATTTCTTTTGTACCTCATAGGGTCTTTCAGCACTATTTATTTATGCTTGGCACCCTGCCAAAACATAAGCTTTGAGTCACTTTGGATATTTGTTGATTTTCAATATTCAAACAGGAGAATTAAAAATGTAAAGACATAAGTTTATGCATCTGAGTGTTTTAGATTCAAAGCTTTAAAAAAAACTCGTCATGGCTGCTCACAAAATTTAGTGTGAGGATCAACCTCACTGATTCTTCTTAAGGGCCGAGTCTATACTTTGTGCAGCTCTGTATTATGTTGAGCATAAATATTTTATGCAATGAAATTACAAATGGCAAGCCATTTTTTACAGCAGGAAATGATTTGATTTATTTGAGCAAACCTACTTTAATTATATGCGGAGTATTAAGCATGATTCTTGCCCGCTAGGATGAGGTTGCTTCTTTCAAATTATTTTGTCAAAATTATTTTGACTATATTAATATATACCCATTACTGAAGATAACCTCATTTAGAACCCTAATTCAAAATTTCTGTCTGGTTATAGTATCAATACCATTTCATCAAAAATATGTTTCAATTTAACTGATGTTCATTAAGTACAGAATAGCCTAGGTGACTAGAACACATGGGCTGATAGAAAGCTTAAAGGAAACTGTTATCTACTCATCAATGGCAGTGTAAGACTTCACTGCAATTATTATAGGAACAGCAGTCAAGCTTCTTGAAGGTCCTTTTCTGATTGGACTACTTTCTATGTAAGACTGTGCAAGCTATGTAAAGTCTTTTAGTGTTTATTAACTCATCTGTAAAATAAAAATGAAAAATTATTTCTCACAAATGGAATAAACTAAACACCTATGTATTTGTGTACCTGTCTCCAATCCATGCTTCTTATTTAGAAGCCTAAAATACATTTTATTAGCTATTACCCTAAGGTTTTTCAGCAAAAGGTGATGTAGCTCTTTTTCCAATTAACTTAACCTTCATTTTTGTTATTCTTATCTGCTTATATGTTCACTTTTTGGCTTTAAAGAAAATACATACTACATAAATAAATTTCTCTTGCTAAAATCAATTTAAAATTATGGGTAGACTCATCATATCATGGAAATAGGAACTGGTATTTGAACATGTATGTTTGTAGTGACATTCTACACATGTCAAGGAAAATGAAACCTTTGTGTTTATGTATTCTTTCATGTAATGTTTTGTCACAGGATTGTCTTGGCAACAACTACATTATCTAATGGATTTCCTGGTGCACGAGAACCACACTGCAGTGACAGAGTTCATTCTGTTGGGCTTAACAGATGATCCAGTCCTTCGAGTCATCCTCTTTAGCACCATCCTATGCATGTACTTGATGATTATATTTGGAAATCTTAGCACAATTCTTCTTATCAAAGTCTCCACTCAGCTCCACCATCCTATGTACTTTTTTCTGGGCAACTTGGCTTTTGCTGACATAATCTTTTCATCATCTGTCACACCCAATATGCTTATTAATTTTCTGGTGGAGAGAAATACAATCTCTTACCTTGGATGTGCCTGTCAGCTTGGCACAGCCATTTTCTTTGGGACAGTTGAGTGCTTCCTTCTGGCTGTCATGGCCTATGATCGCTTCGTGGCCATCTGCAATCCACTGCTGTATTCAACCAAAATGTCCACACAAGTCTGTGTCCAGTTACTTGTAGTAACTTATATAGGTGGCTTTCTTAATGATTGCTCTTTTAGCCTTTCTTTCTTTTCTTTAACCTTCTGTGGATCAAATAAAATCAATCACTTTTTCTGTGATTTTTCTCCTTTGGTTGGACTTTCCTGTTCTGATGTTAGTGTCTCTGCAGTTGTTCCCTCATTTACCGCTGGCTCCATCATTGTGTTCACAGTGATTGTTATAGCTGTTTCCTATGTCTATATCCTCATCACCATCCTGAAGATGCGCTCCACTGAGGGCCGCCACAAGGCCTTCTCCACCTGCACCTCCCACCTCACTGCGGTCACTCTGTACTATGGGACCATCACATTCATCTATGTGTTGCCTAAGTCTTTGTACTCCACTGACCAGAACAAGGTGGTATCTGTGTTCTACATGGTGGTGATCCCCATGTTGAACCCCCTCATCTACAGCCTCAGGAATAATGAGATTAAGGGGGCTCTGAAGAGAGAGCTTGGGAGGAAAATATTTTCATAGAAACATTTTTTATTGTATATGACTCCATATAATAATAATATCCCATAATAATAAAAAACTACTGAATGTCCATTGAAATGTCATTACTAACATTTTTTTCAGTCCACATAGGGGTTCAGAGTTTAGATAGCAGTAAACAAAAGGTCTGTAATGAGTTACTTTTAGTAAAATTAAATTTAACTTATAATTAGGTACACAATTTTATTTTACAAAAACTAAACTTGCTGAAAATCTTCTTCAACTTTTCACCATACCTTTTCATGTATTGCTCTATGCTTTATGCTTAGGTAATTATACGTTTTATAGTTTGAATCATTTTATGTGAATCCTATTAGAAAGTAAGTTAATTGAAGAAAAATGAGCACTTCTTTAGCACCTGTAAGATTTTGTTATATATATATATTTTGTACTACTACTTTTGAAATTAGGTCCTTTTTCTTGCTAGGCAAGGATTCTGACAATTGGGGCCATATCCCATCCTAGCTTGCAAAATTTTAGAACCATCTTTTCCAGCAAATAATGATCTTTAGTAGTTTTTTAATCTCTCTGGATGTGAATGTTCTCATATGTAGATGAGCAGATAGTAAATAATATTAAAAGTAAGAAGGAATAATATCATTTTGTTATAAGCATTGTTGCATGTAATACAGCTGATATTTCTAATTATTGGGACTTGAGAGAACTAGAAAGTTCAGCAAAAGGTCTTACTGAAGTAAAAGAATTCTGTTCACCTTTTCCCCTAAAAGTGACATTAGGTACTTAAGAGAAACATGAAATATGGTACCTTCAATATAGAATTCTCAACAAATGTACTGCTAAGGAGTATGTTCCCGATCACAGCAAAACAAAGGATTCTGAAACATTACTTAAGAAAGACTATGTTTTTGTATGTCAAGTACAAAATTTTTAGATTTTGTAGAATTCTCACACACTGGTGAGAACTCAGGGATAAAGAAAACCATAGGAGTTAAAATTGGTTAGAATTTAAGTTTGTACAAGAATTTAAGTTTGTATAGGAAACAGTATGAAAATTTCTTAACCTAAATATAGAAGTACTGTCTGGTCTGGGTATAAAATTCTTGGACAAACACAAGTTTGCACACAATGAAAGATGAAAAATGCTTAATATAAAACTTTCAAAAGTGTTTCAAGAAATTTGAAAACTCAGAAAATTTGAGAACTCAGACTTTTGTACTTCAACAAATGTTGAAATTTAGTAAGATTTACATTTATTTACACAGGGTAGAGAAAGAGGTGTCATAAGATCCAAGGAAAGAAAGGAAAAATCTTATAAAATTAAAAACAAATTAATCAAATACAAATACAGAATGTTGGAGAATAGTCAAACACGTTTCTTTTTTAATAAGTTTTTATTGTGAGAATACTGTACAGAGGAGTAGTTACAGTTACATGAGCAAAGTAATGAGTACATTTCTTATTGAGCATTGTTGTCTCCTCCTTTGTTTTTCTCTTCTCCTCCCTTCCCTCCCATCTCCACAGTTACACCCTACACCCACCTTCCCCCACCTAAATTGTAAAGTTAATTTTTCAACATAGCTTCTTGTACATCTCATTGTTGCAATGGGTCAACCTATATCCCTGTTTAAACAATTTGTTTTTTCCTTTCCACTTCTCAAATTATACCAATATCAAATATACTGAAAACAGGGCTTAAACTGTGAGGGAGGAACATACAAAGCAACAAAAAAATCACATGGTACCTTATAAATACGTTAGAAGCAATAGCAAGAAAGAAAAAACCACTTGTGTCCTTATCTTGGAGATCATTTCACCTAACATCATCTTATCTGAACTTTTCTGCTTGTCTCAGACATATACTAGCTATTGCAAATAAGAGAAATCATGGGACCTATGTTTCTGGGGCCTGGCTTACTTCACTTAATATAAAATTTTTCCAAGTCTTTCTCTTTCCTAACAAATGGTGCAATGTCATTCTTTCTGATGGAGGCATAGAATTCCATTGTGTATATATACCACATTTTTCATGATTCATTCATCTACTGGGTTGGTTCTATATCTTAGCTATGGTAAATAATGCTGCAATAAACATAGCTGTTAGCTGTGCTGGTAGCTTTAGTATGGTCTTGTTTTCATCATAGAGGTCCTTCACTTCTTTGGTTCAATTAGTTCCTAGGTATTTTATTTTTTGTGGGGCTATTATGAATGGAGTTGCTTTCCTGA